ACCCCTTCAAGAAGAACCAGAGGGTGAGCCGTCCCCCCCCACCTCGTATCCCACCCCCCCCAAACCTCTAGGGTCTCGGGGGGGGGGGGGTCCTCATGGCTGCTCCATGGCCCCTGGGTGTTGCAGGTGGAGCTGCTCATCACCTTCGAGGTGAAAACATGGCACTGGACACGAGGGAGGTGCTGGTCTGGCTCGACCTCTCACGTGAGTGTCCCTGGGGGGTGTGTGGGGGGAGCAAAAAGGTGTGTGGGGGGGCTTCTCCTGGGCTTGGTGAAACCCCCCCGTGGTGGATGGCCCTGGAAAAAGGAGCTGGGAGGGATGGGGGGGGGCTTAGTGGCACCGGTTTGTGGTGTCAGCGCTCCGGGAAGGGGTTTGGGGGGGCTCTTTGGGCAGGATGGGGAACCCCAAAGCTGAGGGGGGGGCTCCCTATGGTGCTGACCCCCCCGGCACGGTGTTGGCAGGCAGAGCACCCAGGAGGACCTGCAGCCCGTGCTGGCCAAGCTGCTGGTGGATTTACAGCATCCAGTCCTCGCTGACCGTGTGAGCGCAGCCCCCCCCTTTATCCCCCCCCCACCTCATCCCCATCCCAAATCCACCCCGGGGTGCTCCCCTCACACCCCCCATGTCCCCCCCCCGTGTCCCCAGAGCCCCCTCGTACGCCCAGTCGCACTTCAGCGGGGTGGTGGTGGTGGGCGAGTCGGCGATGCGCAACGAGCAGGACGTGGGCAGCGCCCTCGCCTTCGACTTCCAGGTGAGATTTTGGGGGAAAAAATGCGCATTTTGGGTCGGGTGGATGGAACAGCTCCATCCCCTGGTGCCACCCCTGCCCCGCAGGTGTCCACCAAGGGCGAGGCTCTGGGCGATTTGGGCACCATCCTGCTGGGTTTCGAGTGGCCCTACGAGGTCCCCAACGGGAAGTGGCTCCTGTACCCCACCGAGATCCTCACCGATGGCAACGGCTCCTGCCGGCCCCCCCGGGGGGGTCATCAACCCCCTCAACCTCACGGTCAGTGGCTTCATCCCCCCCCCGAGCCCCCCCTCCTGGCTGGAGATTTAAAAGGGGGCTCTGATGTGGGGGGTTTGTGGGTTTTTTTTGGGGTTTTGTGCAGCTGCTGGAGGACGGGACCCCGCCGCGGCGCAGGAGGGAGCTGGGGGCGGCCGAGCCCGCGGAGCCCCCCCTGACGCTGGGCACAGCCAAGAAGGCAAAGTCGGAGGTGCTGCTGGTGAGTGGGGGCTGCGGGGGGGCTCTGGGTGCAGGGGAAGGTGGGGGTGCTCTGGGTGCAGCCCGGTGTGCGTGGGTGGTGACCCCAAAGTGCACACAGTGACCCCAAACTGCACGTGTGTGTGTACAGTGACCCCAAACTCAGCACATGGTGACCCCAAACTGCATGTGTGGTGACTCCAAACTGTACATGTGCGTGTAGTGACCCCAAACTGTGCACACAGTGACCCCAAACTGCACATGTGCATGTGTGGTGACCCCAAACTGCGTGTGGTAACCCCAATCTGCACATGTGTGCCTGCAGTGACCCCAAACTGCACGTGTGCACGTGTGGTGACCCTAAACTGTATGCGTGTGCATGTAGTGACCCCAGACTGTGCACACAGTGACCCCAAACTGTACATCTGTATGTACAGTGACCCCAAACTCTGCACATGGTGACCCCAAACTGCACATGTGGTGACCCCAAACCGCACATGTGCCTGCAGTGACCCCAAACTGTGCACACAGTGACCTCAAACTGCATGAGTGGTGACCCCAAACCACACGTGTGCCTGCTGTAACCCCAAACTGTGCATGTGTAGTGACCCCAAACTGCATGTGTGTGTATGGTGACCCCAACCTGTACATGTGTACCTGCACCGACCCCAAACTGTGCACACACTGACCCCAAACTGCACTTGTGGCGACCCCAAACCACACGTGTGTGCCTGCAGTGACCCCAAACCGCACGTGCACAGTCCCACCCACCTCACCCATACCCACTTGGGGTCTGTGGCACCGTGCCCCCCACTGAGCACCCCTGTGTCCCCCCATGTTCCCCCCAACCCCAGAGCTGCTCCCAGGGCACCGCTCGCTGCATCTGGTTCGAGTGCCCCCTGCTCGCCCCCCAGCGCCCCACCACCACCTTCCGTGTGCGCGCCCGGGTGTGGAACAGCACCTTCATCGAGGTCAGTGCCCCCCCCCACAGCCCCCCAGCACCGAGTCCTCGGGGATTTCAACCCCCTGGCACCGTCCCCTGCCCCAAATCCCCCCCCCAAAAAAAATCCTTGCGCCCCCCCCCAGGATTACAGCGACTTCGACCGGGTGAAGGTGGACGGCACGGCCACGCTCTTCCTCCGCACCCACGTCCCCAGCATCAGCATGAAGAACCACACGGTGCGGGTGAGTCCTCGCCCTGGGGGGGGTACTGGGAGCACTGGGAGCTTCCCCCCCACCCCAATTGATTTTTTTTATTTTTTTTTGGGGGGGGTTCTCCCAGTTTTCCGTGGATGTCGACTCCGAGCTGACGGAGGAGCAGCCGGCTGAGATCGCGCTCTGGCTGGTGCTGGTGTCCGTGGCGGCCGGGCTGCTGCTGCTGGGGTTGATCATCCTCCTGCTGTGGAAGGTGAGGGGGGGGCACACCCGGGACCCCCCCCCTTTTTATAGGGGGGGTGGAGGAGCCGTGCATCGCCCCCGTGGCTTCATCTCGTGGGACAGACCCGCCACCAAATATTTGGGGAGCCAAAATCACCCGGTGCCGCGGCACCCCCCTGGTCCTTTTTTTTTTCTTTTTTTTGGGTGGGGGGGCTACTTGGGTACGTGGCCCCCCCCCTCTGGGGTCTGCAGGTGCCCTGAGCCGTGTCGCCCTCCTCCCCGCAGTGCGGTTTTCTTCCGTCGGGCCAGCACGCGGGCCATGTACGAAGCCAAGGGCCAGAAGGCGGAGATGCGGATCCAGCCGTCGGAAACCGAGCGGCTGACGGATGACTACTAGCCCGGGGGGGGGGGGAGCCACCCCGCTGCGCCCCCCCCCCTCCCCCGTCACCCCCCCCAGCACCCGCGCCACCCGCCCGGTAATGCCCCCGCACCCCCGGGGTGGCTGCGGCCATCCTCCTCTTCCTCTTCTTCCTCATCTTCCTCCTCTTCTCCAGCCTCTCCGCTCTTCCCTGCAGGGCACGGGGGGGGGCTTTGAGGGTGGGGGGCTCCATGCAGCCCCCCCAGAACCCCCCCCAAATCTATCCCCCCCCCAGCACCTCCTGCTCTGGAGGCTGGGGGCTCTGCGCTCCCTCCACAGCCTCTCTCCGCCGTCTCCTCTCCCTCTTCCAGCCCCTCACTGACCCCTTTCCACCCCCCAAATTTATTTTTTAGTATATTTTTTAAATTTTTAAATATTTTTTATATTTTTTTTTAAATTCCCCCCCCTCAGTGCGACTTCTTCCAGCGGACTCGCTACTACCGGGTGATGCCCAAGTACCACGCCGTGAGGATCCGGCAGGAGCAGCGCTGCCACCGCCCCCCCGCCCCTGGCCTCCTGGCCCCCCCCCGCCCCAAAAAGCACTGGGTGACCAACTGGCAGGAGCCAGACAAGTACTACTGACCCCCCCCTCCCAAATTTTACCCCCCCCCAGCCCTTGGGGAGCGCCAGGACTTCTTGGGTTTACTTTGCACAAGCCCCTCGCTCGCTGTCCCCCCCCCCCGGTGCTGGCTTTGCACGCTTTGGGGGGGGACACACAAAGCAACCCCCCCCCCAAGCGAAATTCTCCCCCCACACACCAAATCCTCCCCCCGCTGAGTGCCTTCTGCCCCTGGGGGCCTATGCAGACACTCCTCTCCCCCCCATGGGTCTCCAGGTGGGGGCACATCCTTGCCCCCCCCCCCCCAAAAATTCTTTCTCTGCGCTGTGCCCCCCCCCAGCTTTGTGCTCTGTGGGGCTGGGGGGGCTCGTGCCTTCTCCCCCTGCCTCAAGCAGTCCTGGGGGGGGCTCACTCTGCACCTTCACCCCCCCCTCTGCCTTTTCCTGCTGGGGAGGTGCTGCCCCCCCCTCAGTTGTAGCCCCCGGGGGGGGTTCCTCTGTGTCCCCTCCCCAGTGGATGGAGCTGGGGTTAAGTTATTCCATGTCTCTTGTGCGTGTTGAGCCCCGGAACGGGGTAGGTACTGGGGGCTGGGGGGGCTCTGTGACCCCCTCCCAGCCCATAAATGTTTCCCCCCTTCCCCCCCCCTTGCTGGGGCCCAATAAAGCCTCGCTCTGGGATTTGTAACCTCGTGTCTGGCCCATGGGGGGGCGGACAGAGAAGTTTGGGGTGGTGGGAAAAGGGAGAGGGAGGAGGAGATGCTCTTTTGGGAAATTGGGGGGGGGGGGCAGGGGGCTTCTGGGGTAAAAGTATAGGGAATGGAGAAAAAGTAGGCCCAGGGGAAAAATGGTCCCAATGAAGTGGGGGGGTGTCAATGCCCTAGGTGGGGTTATGGGGGGGGCTTTCCACCTGTTTGGGTTATTTGGGGCATTTCCCCCCACCATGCTTTGGGGTTAGTGGAGGGGATTCCCCTGCTTTGGGGTCAGGGGGTGGGGGCTCCTCCCAGGTTGCAGTTATGGGAGGGGGTTCCCCCTCAGTGGGGCTATGGGGGGGCTCTCCCCGCTTGGGGTTATGGGGAAAGGTGGATGGTTTGGACCACCAGCGAGGATTTACTGCCTGCAAAAACCCGAAACACACGGGGCACAGCCTGGGAGAAACATTAAAAGGCACACAGAGGGGGTGGGGGTTTCTATAGGGACAAAAACGGGGAAAAAAAGTCAGTTTTCTTGCTGGTAAAAGAACACGGAGTGGTTTCTGAAATGGGAAGCATAAGGAGGTCTCTCCCTATTCTGCCTGCGAAGAAGAAAGGTTGGAAAAGGAGGTAAAAGAGGGGGCACCTGGAGTTGAACCAGGGACCTCTTGATCTGCAGTCAAATGCTCTACCACTGAGCTATACCCCCTTGGGTGAGCAACCAGAAAGGCGCAGGAAAAAAAATACAGAGCCCAGATTTTATGCCCACTGGGTAGATTTTTTTATTTATTTATTTGACACTCCTTTGTATTAAAATGCACATCAAAGTGTATTCCGAGCATCCAGACAGGAGACAAAGTGTGGAAGCACTGAGGTCTCTGGGCTGATCAAAACCACAACTCCTACAGCCCCGAAGGCAGCATCGTGCCTTTGCTTGGTCACTGACACATACAAATTAGGCTGTTTTTAGATTAATTTGGGGTTTGGGTCTTGGGTTTGGTTCAGAGACCACCCCTTTGGCCAAACAGTAGCTCCCGGGATCTAAAAATGAGGCAAACGCCGCCTCCTTTTTCCTGAAAAAAGCACAATCCTTAGGGGGCACCTGGAGTTGAACCAGGGACCTCTTGATCTGCAGTCAAATGCTCTGCCACTGAGCTATACCCCCTGAAACACCCCTTCCATGAGGTGGGTTTAAAAGCACTTGCACACACCCCGTGTCTGACCACGGGTTAAGATTAATTAACCTGGCAGCAGCCTGGACAGGGCAATGGACATAATTGCTGCAAAGAGTTACTACAGAAAATTGCAAACTTAGACAAAAACAGCACAGAGCTACTCAGAGCAGAAGCCCTGAGCTTTCCTGGGCCAAAAGCAGGCTGAAAAAGCACAATAAAAAGAGGGGGCACCTGGAGTTGAACCAGGGACCTCTTGATCTGCAGTCAAATGCTCTACCACTGAGCTATACCCCCTGTGTCAGCCTCCTCCACAGCTGGAAGTTTTCCGCTCATTCCAAACAATTCCAGCACACCAACAAATTACTCCCAGCACAGAAAACACTGAAGGAAATACCTCCCTGCTCACAGCCTTCACGTTGCTGCTCCTCTTTCTCTTGGCAATCTTCTTCTTGCTGCCTGGCTACCTCCACGTCTGCCAGAGGACGTTCCCTGCAGGGAGTTCAGGGGAAAGCAGTCAACTGAGAAGCCCCAGATGGACCTTTTGGGGTCAAAAAGAGGAGAAAAAGGGGAGGGGGCACCCGGATTTGAACCGGGGACCTCTTGATCTGCAGTCAAATGCTCTACCCCTGAGCTATACCCCCACCTGGGCAGCACCTGCTGCATTCCAGGCCTTGTGCTCACAGCACCTGCGGCACGGCTCCCGCAGGAATTCCCTCTCCTTGGCCTCCTCCTGGCCCTGCCAGCCCCAGGCCTCGCTCACAGGCTCCTGGGGGACAGGCCAACCACTTCCCACTCTGCTTTCTCTTACAGCACCTTGTGATGGAGTAGGAAAATAGAATGGCTCAGAAGCACCCACCTCAGGAGGCCTCCGAAGCTGCTCGGCCGTGCCCCTGTGTGCTCAGGGCCTCACCCAAACCTGGCAGGGAGCAGCTCCGGTGCTGCCCGCGGCCTCGCTGCCTTCCTCGCTGCCTGTCCAGAGGCTGCAGGGCAGGGAACCGCCGACACCCGGAGCCTCGCCGCCGCCTTCCAGCCGGGCCGGGCCCTGTGAGGACGAGCACAAACGGTTTATTTAGCATCGGGCAGACATCAAAGGCTGCGGGGTAAAATAATTCACCCCAGGGGTAACGCGCCACAGGCAGGGAGCACCTGGGCGTGTAATTAAGGTAATGAAGCCAAGGGGTAATTAATTACAAGGGGGATAACGAGCTGGATGTGCGGAGGCCGAGCTGTGCCCGCCCCCCCCCCCCACAGGCCCATGCAGGTGCCGGGCCCACCTCACCCCACACCCGTTAACGGCCGGGCCCCCCCCCCAGCCCCGCTCCTAGAGCCCGGTACCGGCCGGAGCCCACCCGACAGCGGCTCCTGAGGCAGGAAAGGGGGGAATTGACGCTACCGGAGCCCGGTACCGGGTCACGGGCCCGGCCCTCAGGGCGCAGCCCCCGGCCCCCACCTCCACCCCCGGCCCCGACCTCCGCCCCCTCTCCTCACCGCCGCGTGATGACGTCACTTCCGCCGCGCCGCCAAGATGGCGGAAGGAGGAGCAGGGGCCGCTGCCCCCCTCACAGCTCCCGTTTTTCCCCCCCCAAAAAGGAAAAAAAAAAACAAATCCTTCCGAACAACACCGCAGGTAAATAAAGGGGCGCCCCCCACCATTCCCAAACACACGGGGAGCCGCCTGCCCGCAGCACCGAGCACCGGAGGAGAGGGCCCCCGACCCCCTCCCGGGGTGGGTTCCGCCCTCGGTGGGCCTCGAACCGGGGTCCTCCGGGCCCCCAGCCCCGCGCCCTGCCCCGGAGCCACGCGCGGGCCCCCCAAGGCGCGGCCGCGGCCCCGGGGCGTGGCGCAGGGGGAGCGAAGCCGCCCGCGGGGCCCGAGGTCCTGGGTTCGAGACCCCCCCCCCCCCCAGGGAGGCAGCGCCCGGGGGTGGCTGCTCCCTTTTGGGATCGGTTCTGGGTTGATTTCTGCAGCGCCGACCCCATCTTCCTGCAATAAACAGCGCAGGGGAGGTCTGGGTTTTAAAAAAAGACCCCGTGGTTGGTGTGTATTCCATCCTTAATGGGAGTTACTGGGGCAGGAAAGCCTGGAATTGCATCCCACCGCTGCAAAAGCACCTTGCTAGATTTTACATCCCTTCTTCAGCAAAAACAGAGGGGAAAAAAGTCAGTTTTCTTCCCGGTAAAAGAACACGGAGTGGTTCCTGAAATGGGAAGCCTAAGATGGTCTCTCCCTATTCTGTCCACAAAGAAGAAAGGTTGGAAAAGGAGGTAAAGAGAGGGGGCACCTGGAGTTGAACCAGGGACCTCTTGATCTGCAGTCAAATGCTCTACCACTGAGCTATACCCCCTTGGCTTAACATCTGCCTGGGGAGCAGAAAAAAAGGAGCTAATTCCATGGCACAGGCACTTCGTGTACCCCTTTGCTTTCTCACAGACAAGGGTATTGATTTGGGCCATGCATTTTCTGGCTGTTTCTCAGTGTCTTAAATACAGAAGTTCAGAGCCCACTCCTCTGGGCAATGCAGAAACACAGCTTCTAAAAGCGGGGAGTTCATTTTTTCCTTAAAAAAGGAAAAAATCACCTTTGCAAGGGGGCACCTGGAGTTGAACCAGGGACCTCTTGATCTGCAGTCAAATGCTCTACCACTGAGCTATACCCCCTTGGCTTAACACCCAGAGAAAGAGCAGGAAAAAAAAAATAATACAGAGGTCTGTATAGTTTCTGCTGCTTTTTTATGTGCCAGGCTCCTTTGGACCTTAACATAACCGATAAAGCAAGTTCAGTCACAATCACAGATGAACACAGTGTACTTACACAGCCCTGAGCTGCCAAAAGTTTCCTCCTTGATCAGAACAACAACTCCCAGGGTTCAGCAGCCACCAGCTTTGGGTAGTCACCACCAAGGAGAGGGACTTGGGCCACGCATCTTCAGGTGAGTGCTGGGTGTCTTGAATACGCAAGTTCAGAGACCAGCCCTTTGGGCAAAGCACAAGGAAGTTAAAGGTGATGAAAACACGTTTATTTTCATGAAAAAAGGGGGCACCTGGAGTTGAACCAGGGACCTCTTGATCTGCAGTCAAATGCTCTACCACTGAGCTATACCCCCTGTGCCAATCCCCTCCTGGATGGGATTTTTCTGCTCATTCCAACCAATTCCAGCACAATTCAGTGAAGTACTCCCAGCACAGAAAGCACCAGTTAAGAATAAATTCATCTCTCTACTCACAGCATCCGTGGTGCCGGTCCTCTCCTCTCAGCAATCTTGGTGGCATCTGCCAGAGGACGTTCCCTGCAGGGAGCTCAGGGGAAAGCTGGCAACTGAAAAGCCCCAAATGGACCTTTTGGGGTCAAAAAGAGGAGAAAAAGGGGAGGGGGCACCCGGATTTGAACCGGGGACCTCTTGATCTGCAGTCAAATGCTCTACCCCTGAGCTATACCCCCACCTTGGCAGTACCTGTCCAGGAAGCTCCTTGTGGCTGCAGCTGGGGCAGCCCTGCTGCATTCCAGAGTTTTTGTTTGCGGCACCTCCAGCACTGCTCCTGCTGAATTCCTCCTCCCCTTGGGCTCCCCGTGGACTTCCCTCTCTCCTCGGCCTCCTCCTGGCTTCGCAGCACCACGCCTGCTCGCAGGCTCCTGGGGGGCACGCCGACCGCTTCCCACTTGGCTTTCCCTTACAGCAACCCCGTGATGGAGGAGGAAAACCCAAAATCTGGGAGCACCCACCTCAGAAACGCAGCCTGTGTGTGCTCAGGGCCTGCCCTGCCAGCAGGGCACCCAGAAAGGGAAATGTCAACACCCGGAGCCTCGCCTCCGCCTTCCAGCCGGGCCGTGTCCTGCCTAGGAAAAAGTCTTCATAAATCAGCCTGTTAAAAGACAGATTGAGGGAGAACGCTTGGATTTTAGTGCTTGTTTCTCAGCAGGTGCCTGCAGCTCTCCCCACGGCCTCACCAACAGCTCCAGCACCATCAGGGGAACTGAATGCTGTCACTTCCCAGCAGAAATGTCTTAAAACCTACTTTTAGGCCACAAGGTGTTGGCCTAAACACCACAAAACATCCAACCTCCTTTTTCTCACTTCCTCAAGCAAAGCATTTAGCTCCAGAAACACGCTCACAGCTCTTCTTCAGCCAGGGAACATCCCAAGCAGTTTCAGGTTGCTCAGGGAGCTCTTACAGCACCAGGCAACGCCCCACAACCCACGCTGAGCCCCTTTGGTCCCCCCCCAAACTGGGGGTTAGCCAGTGACCCCCCCCCAATGCTGTTTCACCACTGGTTGAGGTTTTGAGGCACAAACTGCAGCCACGACCTCAGCCAGCAGCAGTGGGCTCGCTGTGTCCTTGCGCTGTCATCAGCAAGGTCTGAGGAAGCGTTTCTCAGCCTGCTGGGCACAGTTTGACCTGAGCAGGAATTTTCCCCACACAGAATCAGACTTAAGCAGCTAAAACTGCCCATTTGGGAAGATTTCTTATACCTGTTTTTATAGAACAGTTTCCAATTTGTTTTTCTGGAACAAATGGTTTTTATAGAACAGTTTCCAAAGGAGCTCTCTCTTTTTATCCATGTTGGATGAATTCAGTCGGTGCTGGGGGAGCTCTGTCCTTCCAGGGCAGGCACCCTCTGGATGCAGGAGTTCCAGTACACAACAACCCACCTCAAAAGAGGCTGAGCACCGGATCGTAACCCACCAGGCCCCCTCTCCTGCACGCAAAGTTGTGGAAAATACTCCCCAGACCTGCAGTAAGTTTGTTTTAACACCATCACGCCCAGCACAGGAGTGCAGTTTGAGCTTAGCAATGGCAAGACAGACACTCTGTGTTTGGTACAAGTACTTTTATTTCATCTCTGCAAAGATGAGCGCGTTCACGCAATGCTCCCTGCGTTGGAGGCTATCCTGGGCCACAGATCCGCGCACTCCTTAGCCACGGGGCCTGTGATTGCAGAACCTGGCGAGGAGAGAGACAAGACAGCGCGTTAGAGAGCCCTGCAGGGTGACGGTACAAGGGACATCCTGCCCCCACAGCAGGTCAGCCTGGCTGCGCTCTCAAATCTGAGGAGAATCCAGGACTTTCTGCCCAAACTGGCCGAGCTCTGCCAGGAGGGTTCCCGGCCGTACCTTTCATCTCCCCTTTATTGTTTACGATCACTCCTGCGTTGTCCTCGAAGTACAGGAACACGCCGTCTTTCCTCCGGTAGGATTTCCGCTGCCGTATGACCACTGCTGGGTGCACTGCAGAGGGAAAGGGGCAGGAAACTCAGGACCCTGAGCACCCTGCTCAGCACCAGACACCCCAGAGGAACAATTCTGCTGCAGCATTTAACCCCAAACATCCCCTATCTATGCTACCTCACTAGGGAGCTGAATTACAACATTGCCATCGGGGTAAACTTCTGTTGTATTCTACCCAATTTCTTTTTTTTTTTAACCACCCTTATGAGAGGTAGCATTTTTGCCACTCCAATCAGTTCTGATCAGCTGCAACAACTGCACATTTACAGAACTTGGGAAATCTGATATGAACTTCACCTATTTGATAAGAGAGTACTCTGTCAACTCATTGGCTGTACTGGAATGAAGCTTCAAGTTCGTGTAGAGACACGGGTGTAAATGTAAGGGTTTTAGTCATACCTCAGGTACAAAAGGAGAAAGTGTCAGCTGCCATCATGTCTCACATCTTATAGCCTGTGGTGTTTTCCTTGGTTCTAAGGGAAGCTATCTTGAAGACAACAGTATACTTAAAGCTGACAACTAGATCTCTACTCCAGAAGTCACTGTTTTTCACATTTATTTCTAAATCTCTCAGTTTAGAGACAACACTAATCAAGAAGCCCTTCCTTCCCCACCAGGACAGCAGCAATCTCCCAGAGTTTGTCACACCACTGATTGAAATAAACAGCACGAGCTGCCACTTCACCCAAAAGCGATGCTTTTCTCTGCCCTTCCACGACAACTCACTGAGCCACTGGACGCAGACCCAACAAGTGCTTTTTAGAAGGGTGGAGCGAGCGCTCCAGACAGCGGGCACCTGCCTCCTGCAGCTGTGCAAGGCCAGGACTCCCAGTGCCCTGCAGGGGAAGGCCTGCAGCCCCCTGCTCACAGGGACGCCTCTCAGAGGTGCTGCAGCTCAGGCTGAGAGGCGCTCTGCAGGCACAGCCCCTGTCCTCCACACTCACCCTTCTTCCTCAGCTCTGGCTTGCCCTTCTTGACGGTCGCCATGACCATGTCACCCACGCCAGCCGCCGGCAGCCTGTTCAGGCGCCCCTTGATGCCCTTCACGGAGATGATGTACAGGTTCTTGGCGCCTGTGGAAAGAAAAGCTCAGCATCAACCAGGCTACACAGCACCACTTCCCCTGCAGCACCCTATCAAAACACCGACTGCAGCTCACAGCACCGGCTGCACCAAGGCAGTGCCACCGCATGGCCCTCCCGCAACGACTTAATTAAAACACAGCGAGACACAACGTTTAGGGGAGGGGGAGAGCCGCATTTCGGGCTCACACAGCCCCTCCCTGACTCCCGGTCCCCCCTCCCTCAGCCCCCATCAGCAGGCCCAGGCCCCGCTCACCCGTGTTGTCCGCGCAGTTGATGACGGCGCCCACGGGCAGACCGAGGGAGATGCGGAACTTGGCTCCGGAGGAACCTCCGCGTCCTGCGGGCAGAGAACAGGCGTGAGGCCGCCGCGGCCTACGCGGGGCCGCCGGGGCTCAGGCACCGGCTGCGGCCTCCTCCGGGATCCGAGCTCCCGGCCGCATCCCCGGGCCCAGCGGCGCTCCGGGATGGCTCCGGGATCCCCCTCGGGATCCCCCCAACCCGGCACCGGCCCCAGGGGCAGTGGATGGAGCCGGATGGGGGCGGATGGCGGCGGATGGAGCCCGGGCCCTGCTCCCCCCTCACCTCGCTTCGACATCTTGGCGCCGGAAGAGAGGGAGGCGCGCGGGGCACGCCGGGATATGGGACAGCACCGCCCCCCTCCCGGGATCACGTGGCGGGGGTGTCACGTGGAGGGGGGGTGTCACGTGCAGGCGGCGGCACGTGGGCGCCCCCTAGAGGCGGCGGGCGGGGGCGCAGCGCCTGTAATGGGAGCACCGAGGGGGGGGATTTGGGGTGAAAATCCTTCTTTTGGTTTTTTTTTTTTGTTGCTGAAAAAGGGGAGAGGAAAAAAAAAAAAAAAAAAAAAAAAGGAAAAAAAAAATAGAAAGTAAAGGGGCTGTAAATAAATTAATTAATGAAGAAAAGAGGGGGCACCCGGATTTGAACCGGGGACCTCTTGATCTGCAGTCAAATGCTCTGCCACTGAGCTATACCCCCGTGCTGCCCCTAACTCTCCTCCGCGCCCTCTTTTACCCGTGGTTTAGGGGGCCAAAATGGAGTGGGGGGGTCCAGAATGGGGCAGGAGGGGTCCAGGGCTCCCTTGGGCAGCCCCCAGGATTTGGCTTTCCCCGGATTTTGCCCCCACGAGGATTTTCCAGCCCTGGCAGCTGTACTAAACCCAGCAGCGTTCGCCCACAGCACAAAGATTTGTTCCTGGGGCAACGTGGAATTGATTTATTAAATTGATTTATTTGGGGATTTCACGTTTAATTTCGGGGGGGAGGCACAAGCCGTGCAGCTCCCCACATCCCACCTGCCCCCAGTGCTCTGCGCAGGGCTGGGGACGCAGCCTGATGGCTTCAGAGCAAATAAGTGGAAATAACGCAGGTTTTAACAGCCGTAAACTGGGCCGCTGATGGGAAACGCACGGATTTTGGTGATGAGGGAGGTACCAAAGCATCGCCTGGGGTACCAGCAAGAACACCCTGTGCTGCTCTGCGAGCCCAAAAAGCCATCGGCTCTCACCCGTCACCGGAGCCACCCCACCAGGGCGAGCTGACGTGAGGGACCAGGCCGAGGGTGCCAGACACAAGATGCAGCTCTGGAAAAATAATAAATAAATACATAAATTAAATAATCAAAAAATAAAATAATCAAAACTAAATCAAGCCCTAGGTGGGACAGCAGCCGGCAGAGCCACGTCCTCGGCTGCCCCGCGGGCAGGGTGAGGCCGAATTGTGGCGTGCGGGGAGCAGGCCCTCCCCAAAACCCTTGGGTGCCGAGCGGGGTCTGTCACCCAGAGGCGTCTCCCGAGCCGAGAGAGCAAAAACCACCCACGAGGACGTCCCAGCGAGCTGGGTGTGCAGGAAAATGTGCTTTATTTTAAGGCGAGATGGCCCAGGAAAGGGTGGGAGGCCGGCTGGCGGGGGTGGGAAGCGCCGGGTGAGGTACGAGAAAGGGAAGGAGTGGGCGCCCTGCGAGGGGAGCGGGTGAGCTGCTTTGAAGCGAAGGAAACCGAATTGAAGCCGCATCCTGAAACGAAGAAGGGGGAAGAGAGCTGAGGGTTTGGTGTGGGTGTGCGTTATTAAAGGGCTCCTGCGGGGAGGTTTTGTGAGGTTCCTTCTTTTGAGATAGGTTCTGGGATGAGATAAGGGGGGGATCTGGGGTGCAGCTGGCCCCGGGTGGGAGCAGGGACAGGGACAGGAGCAGGGACAGCGACCTGCCTGCCCTGCCTGCCCTGCCCTGCCCTGCCCCGGCCTTTGGTTGTGGGGTCGGGATCTGATGCTGCCGGCCTGGCCCGGAGCTCTGCAACGCACCCCAAGGAGGCACCCATGGGGGCCACACGGCTGCACCCTGTGGGCTGTGTGTCCCTGCTCGAAACTGGCTGAGAGGGAAAACACGTGTGGGAGTGGAAATAAAATGGAGTAAAATGAAGTAAAATGAAAAACTAAAAAGAATTTTAAAAAATGAAGTAAAGTAAATGAAGTAAAATGAAATGAATAAGCGAAAATAGAAGGAAATAAAGTGAAATAGAAAAATAAAATGAAATAAGTGAAAAAATAGTGAAAAATAAAGTGAAATGAAATAAAATAAAGTGAAATGAAATAAAATAAAGTAGAACAAATAAAATAAAATAAATAGAACAAAATAAAATAAATAAAGCAAATTTTCGAGGGGGCACCCGGATTTGAACCAGGGACCTCTTGATCTGCAGTCAAATGCTCTACCACTGAGCTATACCCCCGGCTGCCGCTAGGGGCTGCCCCGCGTGCTCTAAGTGCGCACCGCGCCCCCACGCGTGGGGGGGGCGCGCAGGGGTCCCGGGGGAGGTGAAGGGGGGGGCGCGCGTGGGCTCCCGTGCAAAGGGGCCGCGCACCACGCGCGTGCACGCGGGGAGCCCCCCTCGTGGGGTGTGTGCGGGTGGGGGGGTGCCGTGTGTGCCCCCCCACCTCGCAGATTTGCTCACTTTGGGGGGGGGGCGCGCGTGCAAGGCCACGTGTGCGTGCGCGCGCGCGTGCAGGGAGGGGGGCGCGCGTGGGTGGGCGCGCGCCACCGCTCCGCCTCCCCCCCCCCCCCCCCCCCAAAAACCCCTCCCATGCTTTTCCCCCTCCCTTTTCCCGTTCCGTCCCCCCCCCCCCCCCCCGTATTTATCGGAGCGGGGCGCGGGCGGCGGCTCAGAAGCGGCGGCGGCGGCGGGCGGCAGCGGAGCCCCGGCCATGAACCCCAACTGCGCCCGCTGCGGGAAGATCGTGTACCCCACCGAGAAGGTCAACTGCCTCGACAAGGTGGGCACGGGGGGGGGGCACAAAGGGGGGGGGTCCCAGGGGGGATATTCTGCCAGCCACGCTCCGTGCTGGACGCCCCCGGGGCTCCCGGTACCGGGGGGTGGCGATCTGGGGATGGGGAGGGGGCGACCTGGATCCGGGGGGGGCTACCTGGATGGGGAGGGGGCGATCTGGATGGGGGGGGTCCTGGGGGGGTGCAGTCCCGGCCGGGTGGGGAGCGGCAGCGGGGGCTGCCCCCCGGGAGCCGCATCTGGTTCGCGTTAACGCCGGATTTTTTTTGCTATTTTATGTGCTTTTTCTTAAAAAAAAAAATATATATATATATATGGTTGGTTTTTTTTTTTTTGGTTATTTATTTATTTTAAGTCTCCGGTTCCGCTCGCTTCCTCCCGGCTCCGGGTTCCCCGTGGGGGTGCTTTAACCGCGACGCCCCCCCCCCCCCCCCCCCCCCCCTTGGGTGCTGTCGGGGTCTGGCCTCAAGCCTGGAGGAGGAAGAGGAGGAGGAGGAAGAAGAGGAGGTCGAGCCTCGATCCCTCGCTGTCCTCCGGCTGCCACCGGGGCTCCGTGGCCCCCCCCCACCCCAGGACCCCCCTTCCAGCGAGCAGAGCTGCTCTCCTCTTCCTCCTCCTCCTCTTCCTCCTCCTCCTCCTGCCCCGGGCTTTTGGGACCATCCGAGCAGAGACTAAAAAAAGTAACTCCAAGAATGCAAAGATCTCAGCGGCGACATTCCTCAGCTCGGCAGACCCTATTCCTCGCATTTTTCAGGGATGATGTTGCCCCCCACCCTGCCCCCCCCTTCCTTCTTTGAGCTGGGAAGGGCTTCGTGCTCCGCTCTCAGCCCAGTGTCCCCCGGGGGGGGCTCCTGAGGTGGGGGTAACTGGAAGGGAATGGGGCTGGCACGTCGCCTCTCCCTGTGCAGGCAGCCTCTGGCTTCTGTGCTACTTCTGAGCTGGCAATTGTGCTCTGCCATCAAGGCATGAGTAATGTGCGTCCTCGTACCGTGTCCTCGCTCCACGTATTCTAGCTCTTTTGGGGGCAAGCAGCCAGCTGTAGCAGTCACCCCTTGCTTTTGGGGCCTCTGCTCCGAGTCCCCTCCTGCCCTACAGCACCCCCTAACAAAGCAGCTCCCCCATTGAGCTCCCCGTTAATCCTTCCCGGGGCACCCCTGGCTGCCGAAAAGCCCGGCCGCCTCCCGTGAGAGCCCGGGACAAGCAGTTTTATTAGCGTGGATGTCCCCCTTGCTTCGCTCTGCCCCGAGCAAAGTCTGAAGGGCAGCTCCGGGGCTGTTTGCACAAGGCTGGAGTTGGACCCAAGGCAGCAGGCATGAAAAGCTCCTGGGAGGAGAGGTGTGCGAGGCTGCACGGAGGCTCGGAGGCTTTCCCTGCCTCTGCTGGCGTGCGACGGGCAGATGTTGTTTGATTTTGTCCCCGGCGTCTTGGTAGTGAGACCAGGAAGGGCAGCTCCCAGCTTCTCCTCTCAGGCTCGCAGCAAATGCGGAAAAAGTTGCTTCTCCGCTGGGCTTTAGAAAAGCGGCAGCCGAAGGGAGGCTGCGTGGGGCGAAGTTCTGCCTCTCCCCTTCCGATGTCGACACCCTGCGAGGGGTGAAGGCCCCGTGTGGGCACCGGGCAGTGCCCGTCCTTTTTCCCCCCACCCCATCCCGCCACCGGGTGCTGTGCTGGGTGACTTTAAAACAAGCAGAAACCAGGCTTTGCCCTTAATGTGTGAAACCTCATTATGAAAACCTCGTTAGGAGTGTCCCCAGCCCCGTTAGTCTTTCCTGATGGCGTCTCAATCCTCCGCCTCTCGGGTGGTGCCGGCTCCTGAGCTTGCTCCCGGGTGTGCTGCTGTGGTTTGCCTGCCAAGAGGATGCTCTGCAGCTGCAGCACGAGCTGTGAAATGGGTGCAGGACTGCGAAATGGGTGCAGGACACCCTGGCTGTGAGCCCTGTCCCTTATCTGCCACAAGTGGCGGTGCTCAAAGCGCTGCGTGCCCGGAGAGCGCCCGGCCTGGATGGCAGCGGGTTGGTGCCGGTGGAGCCCGGCCTGCAGGCACGGCGAGCTGTGTGGTCGGACCTGGGGCCTGCTCCGGGTGCTCAGAGCATTTTAAGCTTGGATTTGGGTCGATGCTCCTGCGGAAAGCTCTCTGAAGCTTGTCCCCCTTCTCTGCGGTGGTGGAGGGGAGCCTCTGTGGGTGCTGGTCTTGTGCTGGCTGGAGGCCCTACAGCCTCCTCGTTGGGGCTGGTTGAGGTTCCTGGACCCGGTGGTGATGCTGTTAGGGGTGAGATAATTCAGAGGCAGCGAGGCTCAGAGGTTGGGGGGGGTCTCCAGGCACCCCAGCCTTCCCAGCACAGAGGCTGGGGGGGTCTCCAGGCACCCCAGCCTCTCCAGGGCCTTCAAAGGGCCCTGAGCTGCCTGTGGGGTGGCAATAACACAGCTGAAAGGTTGCAACTTTCAGGAGGCCTCAAAAACTCTGGGGCCTCAGCTGTTGATTTCTCTGTCCAGTCCGAAAGCCTGGAGAGGAGAGGGGAAGAAAAATCCCCTGTGGGCTGGATGCGAGCTAGGGGCAAGGTGCTGGCACAGAGCGACGCAGCCAGAGCCCCTCTAGCAGCAGGCTGTGGAGGAACTCGTGTAACTGGAGGAAAAGAACAAATATGTTGCTCTGAGCAACTGAAACGAGGCAGCAAATTGTCCTGCTCGGCTGAGTCATCGCCCGCCAGCGCGGCCGTGTTTGTGCTCGGGGTGTGGTACCTGGGCTTAGGTGGCACAAGGGCTTCGGCTGGGCTCTGTGCAGAGCGCCCAGCCGGCGCTGGAAAACGACTTTGGAGAAGCTGGAGGGTGGAAAAAGCTGAAGGTGGAAAGCGCAGCAGCTGCTGCCAGCTGTTCTCCCCGTGGCTGCTCAGCGTAGCCTGACTCAGAGCCCTGGCTGGCTCCCCGATGAAGCAGCTCTGAGCGGGTCTTGCCTGGGCTCTCCCATCTCATCTGCTGTGTTTTTGTGTTTTTCCTGTGCTACAGCATCCTCCTTTTTCACTAAAACTCCTCCTCTTTCTTCTTCCTTTTTACACTTCTGGTCACCCGTGCATAATGTTGGTTTGGGGGTGGCTCCCTCACCTGCGATGTGACACAACCCTAGGCCTGCTTTGCTTTAGAAACCACCTTTCCTTGCTTGCCAGTCTCTTTTCCTGAACTCAACCTGTTCCTGACCCAGCCTGCTCTCCCCATGGGGTGCCTGGCAAATATCTTATTGCCTGGGGAGATGTGTGTGGGGTCACCCAGCATCTCGGGGGGCTGTAGGGCTCTGCGAGGGCTGGGGTGAGCCACTGAGCCCACAGGAGGGTGATGAGGACCTTTGGGACACCTGCGTTGGTCCCCCTGCTTCTCACGAGAACTTTTCCTTCGCTATCTTCGTTTCCTTGGCTCAGCATCTCTGTGCAGCCTCACCTGACCTGCTCTTCTGGCTATCTCTTGGCTCACATCAGCAGAAAAACCCAAAGCGGTAACTTTGAAGCCTGCGAACCACAGCTGTTAACTCTGCTGACGGTCTCCCTTCTTGGATTTGGCCTAGCCCAGTGAATTCCCGATCTGGAGATAAGGCAGCGTGCTGCTGTAATGCTAAGCCATACGTGTTGCTGCCCTGGTGAGATAAGACACGTTGGCAGAGGGGGGGATTTGCTTTGTCCTAAACTGCTAAGAGAATTGTCAGTCCCTGGGTCTTGCTGGGGTCGGGGATGTCAGCGCTGTCTCAGCTGAAGGAGCCCCTGAATTTGAATTGTGCAGGGCAGGGCCACGTCCCATCAGAACAGCAAGTCGCTGGTGCTAATGCTTCTCTCATCTGTTTGCAGTTCTGGCATAAAGCATGTTTCCACTGCGAGATCTGCAAGATGACCCTAAACATGAAAAACTACAAGGGCTACGAGAAGAAGCCGTATTGCAACGCGTGAGTATCCGCTGCCTCCTGGGGCTGTGCTGGGTCTGGGGGTGCTGAGGGGGCTGCTGGACCCTCCTCCCTCTCAAACACTGGGCTCAATGCCCTGAAATGTGGGGCACGGGGAGTCCTGACCTCACTCAGCAGGAGGGGTCTTTCCCCACTGCTCTGCAGCGTTTCCTGGAAGTACAGATGAAGCTCTGACTGCAGAGGGGATGCAGACTGGTTTGATGGGGTGACACAGGCTGGTTAAAGCCCCGTTAAGCTACCTGTGCCACCAGAAATGCCAGACGATGGCCTCTGCTCTGAGTTCCAGACCAAGGGTGGATAAAATTCAGATGCAGGCAGGCGTTTACGTGGAGCTGCTCTTAACCTGCGAGCCTCCATCCCTGGAAAGGGCGAGGAAACGAGAAGGTGCTTGTGCCCCCAACTGAATGCAGGTGCCTGGGGACAGAGAAATGGGGCACGGGGGTGTCACTGCAGCCTGTGGGGGGTGACAGCCCAGTGCCTTCACCCTCGCCTGCTGCCACCTGCCCTGGGAGCAGCGTGTGGGGCAGGAGCAGCATGAGTGTCTGGCTGCACTGCTCCTCAGCTCCCTGCTTCTCTTTGGTGCTTGCAGGTCCCCATGATTGTTTTTTCTTCTGCAGAGAAGACCCTTGGCTGTGCGTGGTAGCGCTGACAAAGACTTTCTGAGCACTAAGGGGTGACTCCAAGCCAGCGCTCCCTTCTGAGGCTGGTTTTTCACTCGAGGAGGTCTTAAATGGGATGTGCAGCGCGCAGTTTGTTTAGGCAGGAAGCTTTGCATAAAAACATCAATGCTGCCTTTGTGTCGGGTTTTTAAAGTTCTCCTTAGTCAGTTCCTCTGCAGTTTATGATCACTGGAGGCAGGAGATTTAAGGGTAGCCCAGCGTGCTCGTGTGTTGAAGTCCAACAGAGATAGCTCTCTGGGTTCCGGGGCTGGGTCATGGCAGCTAGTCCCTGCTCAGCCCAGAGGTAAGTAAAAGTGTGCTTGCTGTGCATGATAATGTGGGTGAAGCACCTCTTCAGTAAGGTTTTTGTAGCAGCTTCTGATATATTAACAGGCCTGAGAAGGAAAATTAGATAATGTGACACTAAGCTCTCGTACAGCAGGTTCCGTTCGCAGAGTGCTTTAAAAACTGTAATCCTGACAACATCCTTGTAAGATGGGTATTAATCATCTTAATGCCTAAGAATGGAAAGGAGAAGCCATAAGTTCACCAATCAATGGTGCTCTGGCAGAAAAACTTCCCCTTCAGCTCGCTTACTGCTGGCACCACGTGCTCGTGGTGGCTGTGACCCGTCCCTGGTGGGCAAACAGGATGGGGTGAGGCATGCAGCGTCCAAATCTGCTGGTAATGCTGTGTCCTGGGACCCTACCTCAAGTGGCAGTGGTGTGAAAAGCAGCAAATAACCCTCATTCTTGTAGTGGGGGCCCCTGGCACCAGCTCAGAACTCCTGCCTTAAAGGTGGAAGGAAAACCCCTGCAGTGATGGCACGGTGCGGGGGGGACTGAGCTGCTGGGGCTCCCCAGCGCCTGTTCCGTGGCTCTGCGGGTCCCCAAATCTGCTGTGGTGGGGGAGCAGCCAGGCTGGGATCTGAGAGCTTGGGGGGCCTTGGTTTGCAGCGAGCAGCAGGTCTCTGAGCTCCCCCTGAGCTCTCCTCCTTGCCCTGAACCTCCTTGTCCTCCCCTGCGCCCCGAGGCCAGCGCTGGCAGCTCTGAGCCTGGCCACAAGCAGGGCCCTGGGGTCCCTCCAGTGCTTTCTCCCTCCACGCTGCTGCAAGGGAAGTGGGATAATAATGGGAAATTCCTGAGATTCCAAGGAGTCTGCGCAACCCCGACCCATCTCAGCTTCTCACCCCCCTCTGCTCAGAGCTCCCTTTGATGCCGCTCGCTGCCTTAACCCTTCAGCAGCCTCCCTCCGGAGCTGCCTGGCTCGCCGCTACCCCCAAGGTGCTCAGATGGCGCATGGAAATCTGCCTTTGGTTCTCTTTTTCCTGCTTGGCGTGGCCGTGCCTGGCTGTGGAGGAAACTGAGAGCGGCTGGGGGCTGCTGGCACGGCCCTCGCCCCCCCGTGCTGGGGGCTGCATGGGGTCAGCACCCATAGCGGGGTGCAGGGAGCTGCAGGGACAGGGCTTGTTCCCACCCAGCCCCTCCAGCTGGGACCCGTGGTGGCCTTGAATATCCTGGGGAGGAAGAAAGGGCTGGGCAAGGTGAACCCAGAGCTGCCTCCGAGGGTCTCATCCTTCCCACGGGGGCTGGGGGGGCGACATCTTCTGTCCCCGAGCAGCAGTGGGGGGAGGAAAAGCAACGTTAGTGCTGGCCAGGAGGAGGCTGTTCTTCTGAACGTGCCCTAGCACAGGGTCTCCTCTGTTCGAGCCGTGGCCGGCTGCCAAATTCTGAAGTTTCTTTCTTCAAGAGAGCAGGAGGAAGAGGGCTGGGCTTCCTCCCCGTGTGACGCTGCCCCAGCAGTAAATCTGTGTGCTGCCTTTCAGGGAGGTGGCTGGGAGCTCCCTGTGCCCACGGGGAGCTCTGGGGGATGTGACCGGGTCCTCAGCCTTCCCCTTGTGGCTTCAGCTGGGTGCTGGGGTGCCTGGCTGCTCCCTGGAAGCAGCATTTGGGGCTGGGCTCATCTTTTAATGCGAGTTTCTCTGCCTCCACCTCTTTCTGGATCAAGATGGGGCTCTGTGCAGGTAGTGCAAGACCTCTGAGAGTGGAGGGGAGGCTGTGTGGGTGTCCAGGGGACCGGCTGCTCCCAAATACACATCATATACAGGATGTAATTTCTGCAGCAATACATACAGGATTTAAAAATCTGCAGCTGCGGGCACCAGGCTGCTGTCCTGTGGAGGCAGGGGAGGTTCCTCTGCTGTGCCCGGTGATGAGGTTGTTCTGCTCATCTCCCTCCAGAGGACGTCTAGACAAGGCAGGACTTCACGGCAGAGCTCTGGGCTCCCACGAATTCCTGCTGGAGTTAAAGCAACCGCTCTGGATGCGTCTCCGTGCTGGCATCCTGCCGCTGAAATGGGGCTGGGTGTGAATTTTGGGTGGGCAGGGAGCGAGTGGCCTTCCCCTGCCCCCTGGGACCTTGGCACAGCTCCGGCATCCTCTGCGGGGGCTCACACAGCCACGTGCTGCTGGCCAGACCCTGCTCGCCTCCGCCTAACCCCACTCGCTATTTGGGGCAGAGCCCTGAAGGCAGGCGCTGTGCTGCTCCCCTTGTTGGCAGGGGAAGGGGAAAACTGCTTTTTTTTATTTTATTTTTTTTATTTCCCCCCCCTCTCCTCACAAAGGGGCTAAAGGCAACGCGAGGCTGCCAGAAATATCTCACGTAGGTGTGTCAGCAGGGTCCCCGTTCCCTCCATCTGCTGTGCTTGCGTGACTTCAGCGTCTCGGCGAGGAGGAGATGCCTTTCCCTGCAATAAACCACACCCGGCGGTGGCTGTCCTCCTCGTGCCGAGCGTGTCCTGGGGGGATCGGGGCCGTGGGGCCACAACGAGGGGATTGGGGCCGTGGGGTTGATGTGCTTCGTTGCCAGCCCCCAGCTCACCTAGCGAGGAGCATCGCTCGGGCACGAGCCCCAAACTTCTGGTGGCGACCCGAGGAGCCTCCCTGGCAGATTTCTCCCCAGTAACTCGATCCTGGCCTTTCCATTTGGAGCGAGCTTCCCGATACCTCTGGGGCTCGCTTCTCGCTTGGAAAAAGTTAGCGAGCGGTGGGCAGAGCTGCTCCAAGTTCCCCAGCGAGCCAGGGATCTGTTCTTGGCACTCCTCGCCGCTCCATCTGGTAGCAGCCTACCACACTAATAAGTGATCCTCTGAGTTTAAGGGGGGGGTGCAGGAAGGGAAAGAGGAACAACTGTGCTGCTGGGACGCGGTCCAGGTGTTTGTCCGACGCTTTATTTGTGCCGAGTTTCGGGATGAGAATAACTGGCTTTCTGTCTGGGCGCGCACACTTTGTGCGCCGTGGGGCTCTGAGCAGGCACCGTGTGTTGTCCTGCTGCCTCCAGGACTGGGGAGATGGGGGGGCTCCTGGTGCAAATGTTGGTGAATCCTCTTTGGGGTGCAAAATCTGTCCCCTTTGGGGCGCAATGTCTGCTCTCTGGAGTATTTGGGAAGGGCAGCTGACTCCAGGTGCTCTCCGTGTACTTGGGATCGATGCAGGGACCTCTGGCAGCTGGTGTTATTGCTCCAGGCTTCCTGGTCAGTTCGTAGAAACCCAAAATCCCTCCCCAGGGGCTCTGCTACCTTCCCCCTACCCCATCCTCTGCTGGTGCCTCCTCCATGGCCGGTGCCTGCCTTGCTCACATCAAACAGCGATGTCCCCATGCACAAAACCCTCTGCAGAAGCAGGAGCTGGGGGCAGACCCCACGGTGCCTCCCGGCTCCCCCCACCTTGCCGGATTTCTTCTCAATAGATCCCAGGGCATTGTCACCACCTGGTGCACGTGGGCTCCCTGCCTCCTGGAGCCTGGAGGGGGGGGAGATGTGCTCCAGCTCAGGTAGGAGCAGTGTCAATAGGACGCTGCCGTGTTGTTTGGGACAAAGCAGATGGCAGGTGAGCTTGTTCTCCGAGGAACATGATCCCATTACTCAGGGCATCTGTGATCCGGGGTCCTCCTCGTGCAGCAGGCGGCTTCCCCGTGCCCCCAGCAGCAATGCATCAGAGCTCACCCCACACTGGGGGGCTCAAGCAGAGCCCCTTGCCCTGCCCTGGGCAGGGGGCAGCACCCACAGAGCCCTGGGGGGGTTTTGGTTGAGGCTGCACCAAGGTTTGCCTGGCACAGAGCTCGCCGCGTGGGGTGGGGGCGGCTGTGGCTGGCTGTTGACTTTCCTGATCTTATTTATCCGAACTTATTTATCCACGCCTGGGGCCAAAAACCTGGTGGAAAAACACAGCACCGTTGTGACGCCTGCCCCGTTCCCATAAACAGCTCCTCTGAGCCCTGTCTGTAGTGTGTGTGTTGGGGGGGGTTGGACAGGCACCGCTCTGT